GTGTGCATCTCCGTTGCGTATCAACGTCTCCAGGACGTTCGTCTTCTATCAACGAACAAGGGAAAGAAGACGCGAGTCGACCATACTAAATCATCCTAACTAATTGGCCACGAGAGACAGCGTTTCGCGAACAAGATTTTGACGGCGCGGAGGGACTCAAGATGGTAGACAAGGGTGCAAAACGTAACGAAATGGCGTTAATTAGCTTACACCCGTGACCCGCGATGATGCGGCGTTATTCGAGCCGCGAAGCATTTCGGCATTCGTCGAGGACTCTTATCGTGTGTCTCGTTACGTTGACCCGCGAAAATTTTTGCTGCTGTAATCGGCCATGTGGCATCCTGATGGCTTACATGTAACTATTCAGCCGAATTAGCATCTGGTACGTTGTCAGCCGATTGTATTACCAAGGCCGGCTAAATCGATTACGAATCAAGTAAAAATCATTAGCACGCGAACCAACGGCCTTGCCGACGACTCAATGTCGTCCCGATGGATTCCAAGTCAGCGATAAACGTGTATCAAAGTGACGAAAGAGATGAGGAACGATCATCGCGTCTGATGGGACTTTAAACGATCGACGGGAGAAATTTTCGTGGAAAATTTCGGATCGAAGGAATCGCTGTGCTTTACTGGTACAGCAAAGTACCCTATGTGTTACACTATCTACAGAAATTCGCGAAATTCTGCGAATTTTGTACGAGGTTTGAAAAATAAATGAATTTTGATATCACGAGCCGATTTAGAGACGGAGGAACAGATACGACATTTTTAAACGTTTGAAAAAATTATCCTTCCGAATTTTTCGAGATAAAAAAAAGGTTCCGAAAGCATCTAACATAATTGATAAGTAAATATGCACAGGAAGAACCGAGCAATTAATAAACTGTCATAGTGAAGAGCTTCGAGTCGACGAATCGCAAACTTTCCAACCTCCAAAGACGCACCTTCCAATTGCAAATTGCTAAAACGGATAATTTTAAAATACACTTCTCATTCGTTCGACAGATACATATAATAATCGCGAAGAGCTCAGATTTCCGAATTTTCCTAATATTTTCCAGAATTATCTCGAATCTTTCGAACCAACGAACGATCAGCTGCTCTTCCAGACTTAGAAATATCGCAAAGTTCGATCGAGGGGGTCCTTTTAATTCCGCGGCATCTTCTTCGCGGGGGAATTGGATTGCATGATTTTTTGGAAGCACGTAATTAGCCCTGCGATCACGAAATTCGATATCTCGGTACTCGCAGCGCAGTTGGCGCGCGTAAAAATATGCGCTCACCGAATTTCTTACGTCTTACGTTACACCGGTGATGCAACCCGGCGTTAACATAGAGAGACCACCGAAAGAAGAACAGACGGGCGCGGTTGCATCGTATATCAAGACGTTTTATCGCGACCCCCGCGTTTTTCCCCACACACGTGTAAAGGTGGGATTTCCTATCTGCGAACGTCTCCTTCGCGATGCTTCTCGTGCAGATGACCTGACTCTCTGTATCGTATCGCCGTTGTGTTTGTCGAATCGCACCACCTAATAGCGATCTTACGAGATGGAAATCGTCTGCTTCGATAGAGGATTCGTTATTAAGGAAATAACCTGCTTTCTTTTAAATAAAATTAGCAAGAGGATTTATAATACTGTTCTTTCAATTAAATAGACGATAATTAATCTCTTCATGTTGTTGACAAAAATTAAAAATCATCGAGTGCAAAGGATTTGCATTTATTATCTTCATCGTTACGATGTATCATTCAGATGTATCATCGAACGGGAAGAAAAAATTTACGAGCCATTTCGAATATTTCCAATTTAAATGCTATCGATTTGAGTGAAGAAATAAAACTCTTTGTAGCAAGATACCCAGAATTTCCATAAATTTCTCATGAAACGATCTATCGTGGAATATACGTTCATCTAAATCACAGACGATTTTGTTACACAACGATATAACCGATCCAAGCGATTTATCTAACCGAACTAATCTAATTTAACGAGTGAGAGTCCAAGCTAACGTAAGATCTTCGGAAAGCGAAAGGAAAACAGCAACGAGTAGCGGAAGAGTGTGAGAAAATGATACGAAATACCGATCGATCGCGAAAACGACGAACAATTATGGAGGAGTATGAGAAGATGATACAGAGTATCGATCGATCGCGAAAACGACGATCGATTATGAAGGAGTATGAGAAGATGATACGAAATACCGATCGATCGAGGAAACGACGATCGATTATGGAGGAGTATGAGATGATACGGAATACCGATCGATCGCGAAAATGACGATCAATCGTGGACGAATATCAGATGATACGGAGTACCGATCGATCGCGAAAACGACGATCAATCGTGGACAAATATGAGATGATACGAAATACCGATCGATCGCGAAAACGACGATCAATTATGGAGAAGTATGAGAAGATAATGCTGGAATACCGATCGATCGCGAAGACGACGATCAATCCTGGACGAGTATGAAAAAATGATACGAAATACCGATCGATCGCGAAAACGACGATCGATTATGGAAGAGTAAGAGAAGATGATACGGAATACCGATCAATCCCGGACGAGTATGAGAAAATGATACGAAATACCGATCGATCGTGTAAACGACGATGAATCGAGCATAGATCTGATCGAAGGATGTCGTCGTTACTCGGTCGCAGCCAGTATCTCATTGATACCGGAATCCCATGAAGGAAACACGAGATTCGTTTGCTCCGGTTCACGCTCGATGGCCGATGCGAAATCGACGGTGTGATCGAAGCAAGTCAATGAGTCTCGATAGATCGTGTCCTCCGCACATGATGCGATCAGACGTCACGTTGAAAGCCGTGTGCCATTGGTCGGGATGCTGACAAGCCCCCGTCAAGCCTCTGCACTTCTGACTCACGTGCGTTTTATCTGTCGTCGAACTAAAATGCCCGTGGGCGAGCATGAGTATGAGCCGAATAAATAATGCTATCAGCGATCGGTGTAATCCGCGTGCTTCTGGGCTCGGACGCGGAGATCGATCTGGATCGATGGAATCACCGTGAAATCGATCGAAGGAGGTCCGATGCGGTTTCACATGGCTGATTTTTAACCGCGAGATTAATAAAAATGCACGTTCATGGTAGCAGAGGGGTGCAATGGGAAGAGAGAAGCGAGAGAGACGTAAACATCTGTTAAATTACAAAAGGAAATTCGTAACGTTGGACGTATAGGGGTTGTTGCACGTATTTTCCAGACATCATCGAACTGCAGAATTTAAGATCCGGATATTAATTCTTTTTATTAGCAGTCGGTCCAATTGCATAACTTTTTCGTAGATATAACGTTTGCTTTATCCGATTCTTTCTTCATATTTCCCTTCCTCTTTTGCGATAAACACGTAAGTCGCGTGTTTTGCTAACCAAATGTCGTAGAAGTTTTTAAAACTGTGCCATGCGACGTATTTTCTGTTTTTTTTTTTTTTCTTGCGGTCATAGAAATTTATTTTAGTCGCAGTTGTCGCGTATGCTTCTCTAATTTAGGAATTCGTAGCTCGAGAAAAGATTATATCGAGGATTTAAATAGGAATGACGGGAACGCGACGATGTAAAGAGAAGAGAGGCAGCGAAAAGGTTTGCATGTGTTTCCATTTTTTATTCGCGTGGGGTATTTTTTATGTATCGGTAAGAAAACGACTCGAACGAAGCCATGGAGCGTAGCTTTATCGGAGGACAAATTTTTTCGAGTGAGAAAAAGGAATCGTTCGCTCGTCCTTCTTATACGTGTATTAATACGTCTATGATAGAGAATTCGTCACGGGTCACTGACATTAGGCTTTGAAAAAAAAAAGATTAAGGTTACCCGATCTAAAACAGTCTCGAATAACAATTTTAATAAGATCGTTACGAGCTTTCGTTTCTCTAAATTCGATCCGACTCGTTACGATGCGTTTGATGTTTCCTTTACGAGCACACAAATGTTCTACCAGCGTCATCATTTTTCTGGCCTGCAATCTGTCTTTGACTAATGCTTTGCAGCAAATGATCGATGAGAATGTACGTTGGAAAATACATTGGAATAATACCGGCACGTAATTCCAATTTAATTCGACGAAGAGTCGATTTTCGAATTTTCGAATCCTCGAATTCGCGGAATTAAAAGAAGAGGCGTATATACGAAAGACGGAAAAATTATTTGAAGCACGAAACCCGCTTTGCTTCGAAGAGAAATGATTTCGTTTGGTGTTAGATAAACCAAGATTTTAAAATAACGTAGTCGAAACGTTTATTATGATATAATTTCGTATAACGTGTGAGTAATCCTGTATTTCGTGTAACAACAGAAGCCGTTGGATATTCGAAATATAAGAACAAGCAAAATATTTTTGCGGCATGACATTCAGCCACGTGACTAAACCGTTACAAACGTTCTGTAAATATGAGTCGATAATTCAACGGACGTAACAATACGATTGATTTATCATAAAATTGTCAGAAAAGTTTTGACGTAGGAAATCCGTCAGCCGACAACAAGGAAAATCAAAAGCGAAACTTCGCAATTTTCATAGAAACACGTCTATTTGACGAACAAAACGTGTACCAAAATAAACTGCAAAATCAGTTCAAAGCCAGAAAAGAATATCTTCGCGTTACGTATATCGACCTAGCCACAATGATACAGAAAAAATGGTAATAAATGATCGAAAATTACAAAGTATGAATGAAAAAAATCCCTGAAACCTCGCAAATGCCACGTCAAAAACGCAAAGACGCAAAGTTTCGAACTCCGGCATTCGCCATGGCCATACAACCAATTATCAATCCCTATAAAATACGAAGGCTGAATATTTTTTTTCTTCGAATTTTATCAACCGGGTAGCTCGAAATTAACCCCATGAACGATCTTCGAATCGACCAACGAAACAGCCGTCCCCACCCACCCCCGCGCTCCGCCAGCAACTAGCTCAGCCTATATAAACCCGCGGCATCTCGCAAGTCTCTTCATTCTATACGAGGCGTCAGTCTATGTATAAAGTCGGAAGCACCGCGGGATACGGGTTGGCACACGGTACAAAATATCACTGAACAACGAACGCGAGATAGCACGCGTGCATTTGTTTGAATCCGCCAGGCCGGCTGCGAAACTAGCGAAGCTAGCGAAACCGAGCAATTGCTTCACGAGGACCGCCAGAGTTCCTCGAGCAACCAGAGAGAGCTCAGATCCTTGCTGTCTAGGTTCTGGTCAGGGCCAGTGCGCGGGTCTATCCCGCCTCGAGACTTATCCAATACCATTTCGAAGACCCAACATCGTCGCACCTTCTCCAACGAGAGAGCAGCCGAGACCCTGCAAGCTCGATCGCAACGAAGAAGAAGGATCCAACTGCGGCAAGGAACTCTCCTTCGAGGAAGAAGCTTCTTGGTATCGTCACTGATCCTCCCAACGGACGACCTTCGCGTTGTTTCTTTTGGAAGAATTCGCAAGAATTCATCAGCACGACAGGATGAAAATACTACTCTTAGTGACTTTGTTGGCGGTCCTGTACACCGTCGACTATTCCAATAGTGCGGCAGTCAGATCGGAGGTAAGATAAGCATTAATATGGCTAATAATTAGGTTTTAATATAGCTAGGCGAAAATCGATGATCCAAGGGAGTGTTGGAAGAGATTCGCAGAGTTTAGGTCGCCGGCTCGCGTGAACGTGCGAACTGGCTTTTTGTCTGTGCACGAAGTTTCTGATTTCATCGGAGAAATTTTACTAAATCCTCATACATAAATCTTCGAGTTCGTATACACGAGAGTCAAACCGGGGATCGCGAAAATATCGCGGATACTCGGAAATATTCGTTTAAAATTCGATCACGATTCTTCTATTCGCACGAAGTTCTTCGATTGGAAGAAATGAGATTCGAAAAGTTGAATATAATTGTTGAAAGATCTTTGGAAAGTAGTATTGATCGAAATCGATTTGAAGTGTTCGAGATAGGGAGAGGCTTGAAATATTTTTAAAATTCTGTAAGACGCGTTTGAAATCGCCGATTGATTTTTGAAAAAAGGAGAAATATCTGTTTTTCGGAATACGAAGCATGCAGTGTTTTTGAAAACATTCTAATCGCGAATTTAGTGTCAACGTCGGTATCTTTTCGTTTTCGAGAAGATAAGCCATAAATCTGAATTATCGTACGTGATACGATTGCAATTGTACGATTTCATACTTGGTAGAGTACATGATAACGCAACGGGAATAAAATTCAAACTCCAACGTTTCTCTTAGAAATACGAAATCGATAGCATTGACCCCTACTGCGACGATGATTTCATGCGTAATGCGTAAGATAATCACAAAACAATTTCGCTGTCTTTCGACGTACTCCTTACACTTATTCATAAATTACTCGAAATTATTTTACAAAGTCCACGAAAGATCGCGATAAATATTGTACGATGATTTCAAATAATCTCAACTTAAATTCTGAGAAAAGAACATTTGTAAATCGTAATTTTGAAGCTTATCTTCGTAACAAAGTAATTTGTCGTTTTTTAAACAATTACTATGCTATTCTTCCGTAGGAATTCGCTGAGCAGTTACGTAGGATCGTTCAAGAAATGCACCCTGATAGCCTAAGAACGCAGAGAGCAACCGAGAGCGGAAATGACGACCGTCCGAAACGGAATTGTTATGATACACCCTGCGGATGGAATACATATAATACTATCACTCGGCGAAGCACGACTTTCATGGCGAATACGTAAGTTAGAATTATGCACGCATGATACTTGAAATAATTGCGGGTAGTCCGAAGCCAATTGTTCCTTTTTCCTTCGACGATTTCCGCTGATACGTCTCTTCCTTAAATCATTTATGCCTCAATGGTTTCCACACGGTTATGTAATAGCTGTAATATTGTATATAATTTTCATGAATATATTTGCAAAATATTTACGGAGCATGCAGTAAATTAATTAGGAATAGTCGGATGATTAGAATTAGATGTCTATTATTTCTCGTGAATCAGCGAAAATCGTTAAAACTAGATCTTTATGAATGAACTATGCTAATATGTAATAACCCAGCAAGATAAAAAGAAGCAACGAACATTCTTTATCGTCTACCACCAGTGTACAATGAATACTTAATCTCTTTCGCTCTTTTCTTATTGTTCGCGTGATCAACGATACAAATGAAACTATTATTCAAATTAATTCCGACGCGCCTTATAATATTGCATTTAAACACCATTATCATTTATGAAACATTCACAAACGTATCGTCGCTATTCCAATAAATTGCCCATAAAAAAAAAATGTTTGAAAATGTTTCACGAAAAAAGTTTATAATTACAAACATTTCAAAATTATACATATTATATGAAATATTCTATATATTGTATGTTACCTGTATATCGTATATACGAGCAGCTTTTGTTTCTTTCCTTTAGGTGTAAGTGTCCTGATGAAACATATAAATGTGTACGCACAGGAGAAAACGTATCCATAAGTGCGTACGTATATCACTGTCGTCAAAATACGACAGTGGATGATATCGAAGGCGAGACCGACATGGATTATCTTAGTTAAGAAACATGCAGACATACCTGAGTAATAAACGCCTTCTCGAACAACCGTGGTCACGGTGTTAGCACCGTCCTCGTTATCGTGTCACCGTCGAACGAAACGATTCTCCATTTTTCCCTCCAAGGAATATTCGACAACACTTTGGATAGAACACTATACATACCACACTCGCGTACGTAACACTGAAAAAGAAAACATTGTTATAATCTATCTATATCAAATGGTCTTATGCGTCTAGCTTTTGCATTTCAACTGTTCGAGATTCGAATTCAAACATGGCGGCGATATTATTTCGATAATCGAAATTGAGGTTTTGTCGAGACTCGTTAAAAATTTTTTACGTGATATATATTTTCCAACTGCAAATCGACATTCATGTGAAGTATTTGATCGAAATATTTGAAGACTTTCGGTAATTATATATATTTTTAAACTAATAGACCGAAAATTAATGAAAATTGATGAAAATTGATTGGACGAAATATGCGATCATCGATGTACCGGCGCGAGAATTTTTAGAACAGATTTTTGTTATAAAAAGCACTCGTTAATATCATATTTTTACGTAAAAGTTTTCCTCAATTGATTATTTACGATTTCTTTATACATTTATCGAGAAAAATTGTTAAAAGTCATTAATTTTACCTTAATTGCGCCGGACGAATCTTCGAATGATGCACCCCACTTACGAAAGGAGACCGGAGACTGCGCAGAAGTTCCGCGCAGCTGTAGAAACGAAGATTATGGCGCCATATTCAAATTCATGTAGTTCGTAGAACACTGTAAATTTCAATTTTCTTCAAAATCAGATAAGCTAAAAATTATAATTATCACAGTATTGTATGATATTTCGCGTAAAACGAGGGTAAAATGGAAATTGACTTGCTATCGTTCGAAATAGACAAGACGCACGGAACATAAAACCGTAAGTTAATTGCAGTTTTTCTTGAAATTACTCGTATAGAAAATTTATCATAAGATAACCAAGCGGTAACTAACATGCATTAATATTTTATAAATTTTAACCATAAGTTTCATTCTACTTTCTTGGCCTAAAATGATAGGAAGTATGTATTGAAATCCTTTCAGACCTGATTCATTTTATCAAATTAAATTATTAACGATGAATTTTAATCGTTTGCATAAACAAGTAATCATTTATAAAAAAAAAAACTTATTTAAATATTTAAAAAGCATATTTGGGTAATGAATAAGGTCAGGTCTAAAAGGATTCAAGTTTGTATCAAACTTTAATGCAATTCAGAATTCGTATTCGTAACTTTATTCTTAAGCTGCAATACCTGGATAATTACATGCGAAGTAAGCTCACTGTCATTTGAAATTTGACAAAGTCCAAAATCCACATCCTTTTCTATTTTTTGTAAGAACATGTTCGCGCCAATCCAGAATTCATAATCGTCATAATTTTATCCACGAAAGAAACAGAGAAAACACGAAACTTTTAACGTTTCACTGATCGCCATAATTCGTTCACGTTATTCGATTTCTAAATACGAGCAAGGATCGATTTTCTTAATCGATGACAAAGTTTGATGAGCGCAGTTCGATATATCGATTTCTATATAAATTTTTAAATATCAGTTACGAATAAGAATGAATTTATTTTTTATCGAAGCTCATCGGCAATTAACAATTAATTATTCTTAAGTTAACATACACCTTAGAAATACTCCAAATGGTGTAAAATTAGCAAGGTTAGGTTACAGTATTTCGATAAGGCACAATCCACAATTTTGTACTTAACGGGGAAAATTGTTTCGAATCTTTTTTGTATATCATTATCGATTATTTATAATATGCAATAGTAACGTATAGCTGATGGAAAAAATAAAGCAGTTTAATTTACGATCTCACTGTATTTTTTCCATTAACTATAACTACATCATTCACTCATTATGAACGTCATATTCGAATTTTTATTCAAAGACCAAAGAGGTTCTTGCTCCAACAATTATTCTTCAACTGATCTATCTTTCACGTTTCATAGATATATTATACGTTTTGCAATTACTTTGCAACAATTTCGAATAGTTATTGAGAAAATAAAACGGAGGTGACAACAAATCATCTTGTTTTTGTGTTTCCAATTGCAGTAGATGTACATGAAAGGATAAAATAGAAAAGTAATTATATGGAACAATTTTTCTACACGTTTACAATACCAATTATACTATGTAAAATTTGTTTAAAAATTAAACAATTAAGCATTCAATTTCTACATATAATGTTTACTTCATTTAAAAAATACAAAAATTACTTAAACATTACTTAAATGAATTAATAATTTTAAATATTCTTACAGTTTTAAGAAAGCGTGTAGAAAATAGTACAGGCAATGTATTCGTATGCAGTATTTCACTTAATATTTAATACACAGGAAGAGTAAATTATCTATACTTGTACAACGATTACCAATGTTATCATTTTTAATAAAAATAAGTAATGTTGGCGGAAATATTATGTAATATTTTATATCCCTCCTTCTCCCCTCATTAATTACCACTTACCTCAGTTCTTAGTTGTTAAGAAATAAGGGTACATTGATTATGGATTATGTCCTGAAAACAGCATAATGAATTAAATAAAACAGTCATAATATTAATGGTTTATTAATATTAATAATGATTTGTGCAAAATATATCAACATTAAATTATTATCTCGAGTAATAAAATTGCCTGTACATTCACTTTTGATACATGGACATACACTTTTAAAATTAGCAATTTCTCGATAAAATACACTATCATCATTCATCATCAATAGTCACAAGTAGTCGAGCATCGGAAGACCGCGTCTCTTTTCTTTGTTCACCTTTGATAAGATACACAGTTTAATGTACAACTGCAGTATATTGTGTAACTGAACAGCACGGTGCAACTGTGTTTATATATGTAGTTATGTAAATGTATGTAAAATGGCATCTTTTCAAAATTATCCACGAAAACAGAGACGCCAAGACTTCAATTAAATTTGTATATTTAGGATAAAAATGTATGACAAAAATTTATGCACACATTATTACCCGTCATTATATTATAAATGTTATTGTTGCTTGAATATCTCGAAAATTGCAGGAAATTCAAGTAATGAAACTAATTCGCCTTCTTAAATTATTATAAACAGCCTGAATCTTGCAAAGAAATTACATTTTTTTTTTTTTACCACGCACGAATTTGTCAAGTTAAATAATTAAATTATTATCATGATTCTTTTTTTTCTTTCTTTTTTTGTGAAAGTTTTAAACACTGAAAATTTATCACTGTTATTGACATCAACAGTATAAAAAATAATTTCTAAATTTGTACCAAGTTCATTGGTATGTATCTCATGTCTTGATATACAGGTAAAAAGAACTGATAAAAAGATACATACTTAAGAATAACATAAAACAGTAACTATAGCTATATATCTCGTGCGTGGTGAGTCAATGACTTTCTCCAATGAACACCGCATTTTAATGTTGTCAACAGCTTTGCACTGTACAGGAACACTGCCATATTTTAATATTTTACAGTTTCTATCGAGTAGCCTAAAGATCAGGTAAAAAATAAGGCCTAGTTTTTTCGTTTCATATGTGTATATACGTACATATGCATTCAATTATCGCACATTCATACATACATGCACATACATATGTACAAACACGTATTTATACATACAATTATATGTATATTGAATTCAAGATAACGTAAACTTCATAACATTCGAAAGAAAGATAAGAGAAGCAAGTTATTAAAAACTTCGAACGAAGGATATTTTACATAAATGTATATAAAGCTACTATTTAAAAAAAGAAAGTATACAGTTTTAGCCAATTTACTGTAACCCGATGTTTCGTTACGCTTTAATTATAAATATAAAGTCGTGTTTAAATAATAGAACATAGCATGAATCGAAATTTTAATAGTTCTTTTTTTTTATTTTTTTAACAATATTTAATGTTTCAATGACAATCGTGTAAGTCTATAAAAATAAAATATTTAATAAAATAAAAGTGGCTGAATCTGCAATACGCTTATAAACGATAATTATATTACGATAGAATATTCTTTCTAAATCTTTTAAGATATTAGATAAAGTATCAAAAGTTTGACCGTAACTTTACTCTCTTATGCAAAACCTTATCTGGAAAATCTATATCTAATTTTATCGGAAAGTACTTGATTTTCAGAAATGAAGTATTACATTTAAATATCTTATATTACCTGATCACAAGCTTATCTTCAATACAATTGGAAATATCGCTCATTACAATTGTTTTTTTTTTTTAAACATTCGATTTGATAGCTAATTTAATATCTTAAGTTGGAAAATCTACATTAAACCCTTAGATAATTAACAACTTCAACAAGTCTGCGATATTTCCATTTGCATCAAATTATTTATACCTGTACAGTTAAAGAACCAAATTTAGTCAAAATTTAATGTAATATGTGTAGTACACAATGTATAGACGATTCGTTATAGTCTTCGATACTTTCTTTTTTAACGACCACTTCTGCACCTTCTTCGTTCGCGATAAACTTTGTTGGCAAAATAAGACGTTCTCTCGTTGTACGTGCGCGCAATATAGTTCAAGAATCAGTCTTAATTTTGCCTTCAACCGTGATAACTCTTTCTTAACTATTCTTTTTTTTTTCTTTTTCTTTTTTTAAACAGAAAATATGAATGTGAGATTACCGAAACGAGCTCTCAGTGTGTTCTCAAAGAATGGTAAAGAAATTATAAGAGACGTATGATTATACACATGATTCCGTCAGAAGATCGGGTTGCAAGCGTTCCACTCGATAACGATTGTATTGTCGGTAAGGAGATCTCGTTTGATCATTGTCCGTGATCACTCGTGTCTTGTGAGGAATTAAGTTTTCATAATGTCCCATTAACCAATCCTGACATAATCGGTGCTGAACGTCCGCGACATTCTTAGATGCCCAAGACGTCAACCACTGATGAAACTTCGAGTTTAAGTGTTTTGTCACGGTTGGATGACACTATTGGGAAAGCGTAAAAATAATATCATAAATATCGAAGAAATTAAAAGCCAAAAGAAATTTTTAACCAAGTAACATACCTCTCTGGCACGGCTGAATGAATTCTGTTTATACAGGAATGCTTCCTTACTAGCAACATAGAGCATTTGGTAACTGTTAGGATTAAATCTGCACTGCGTTTCATCAGAATTGATAATGTCAGATGTATCCGCAGAATCCGCTAATCTTAAACCAGGAGGCCGTTTCAGGAGTGCATCTACAGAATCTAATTTTTCTTTATCCGTTGACCTAAAAAAGAAAAATGTTTAATTAAGACACTATGATAAAGACTCGTGAAAAGAGTTACGGTGTACGTTATATGAAAATCTAAAGAATACTTACTCTGCACCCTTTTCAGGATGATTGGCATTAGGTACAGATGCCGACATCATTCTTGCAGCTCTTTTCCTCCACTGTCTAACATTACGGTAAAGAAACACGGGCTTACGTCCTGCCAAGATTCTGCCTAAAGAACTCCAACCATTTCCATCCATCTACAACAATCGGTTTACGTTAAGTTTTTTAACAAGTACAGCTTATCATGTGGACATAAAATTTGAATGACATTGCTCATTTGACTATCATGGGTATTTAGTACTAAGTTTAATATACTTAAGTTAAGAGCTCTCATTACAGCACAATTGCAAAATAATTTATTACCATATTTTACACATTGTACTAAATTACAAACATTTCTTTTGTATATTTTACGCTCTTTTTAAAAGTAATAATAATAAAAAAATTTAAGTAAAGAACAATAAACCATGAGAAAATACAAAAATAAATAATTGAAACATATTAAAAAATAATATTTAACTTTTCTACGTAAACCAAATTTTCTCAAAGGGTCTTCTTTAAAGGGAACTTAAATTTTTTTATTCTGTCTTCAGTATATTTTTTTAACAAGGTTCTTGTCATTATGTGATTGTCATTATACACTGACACGTACTTAAATCACATACGTATCAATAAATAATCATACTCTACAAACAAAACTTATTAACAATTAACTTGGAAAAACATGGATAGGTAAAAGGATATTTTTTAAAGAATATAACAAAAAGAGTTAACGTTTTGCGGGAGACTTTATGCACGAAACAAGCAATAAACGAAAATAAAACACACTTAATCTGTTGTTTCACTATTTTGTAACATATTATCGGTACTGTTTGAATGATTAAAAAATAAGTGATAATTTTTATAATTTAATAGCAGTTTATAACAACATCATTAATCATAAGGCAATTGTTTTCGTGAACTGATTAATACGTAACAACGGTCTTTTAGTACCAATAATACTTTAGAATAATAAAACAGGTTTGTCCAATAATTTTGTATAAGCAAAATAAATGAACACAAGATGAAATGGAAGAAAATGAGATTAAAAGTAACATTTCCAGTTCAATTTTCGATCTATGTACATTCATAGACGACGTGTGAACTTTTGAATTAAAAGCATAACAAAAAAAGGCGAGGTACTAACATGATTCGAGTGAAACTGTTTAACAATTTTATCTTACGACAACTTTACTATTTTAAAATACAAATGTGTTAGAAAAGAGATATATTACTCTTAATATACATATATATAAATATATATACATATATTTATCACCGTTTAGTATTCGACAAACATGATATAATATTGAAATAATAAAGCAGAACAAATCGAAGCTAAATGAGAGAAAATATCTAAAATAAAAATCAGATGAGGATAAACATAAAAATTCCAACATTTGACTTAAATGCTTGTATGATTAACAAGTATCTAAATACAGTGTTAAAAAATATTTGTTTTGTATTGTTCTTCGTTTCGTTACATTCCTAAAAGCATAGGCAAAGAATTCTTTCTTTTTTCTTTTTTTTTTTCTTGCTGACAAAAAATTAATATCATCGGAGAATCAAAGTAATAAATTTAGTGGTACAAAATGATGTTAGACAATAATGTTTAAAAGCATTGTTCATGTATTTCAATATCTCTCTTCTATACAATATTATTGTTTATCTATTATTATATGTATATTCGTTTCATATACAGATTACAGTTACAAAATATATATATATGTCTTATATATATATAGAGTTTAAAATTCACTGCATAAAGTGAAAACGGAGATATGAGCTTATAACAATCACATAAAATCTGTCTGCACATACGACCTCATAGTCTCAATGAAACTATATTACAAATCTCACAGTAACGTTTAAATCAGATTATTTGTGGCAACAATTACATATATATATATATTTATGTGTATATATATATATAGATATATATATATGTATGTATATATGTGTATGTATATTGTTTAAATTAATTTAAATTTGTGCCACGTTATCTAATAAAAACGTATTGAACTGTTAAATAAACGAAAAATATATAAATACACGTACATAATACGTGTAAATTCTCTCTCTCTCTATATATATAATAGCGCTTAAAATTCCATGATGCCTTGTCAGGAAATGCATGTTTTACATTTTGTACAAAATACGAAGATATTCAATGAGGAAACAACGTTGCGAACACTGCATCTGAAAATTCACTTGCGTCATAAACGTATTTGTATAACTGTACAAAACACTATGGCAAAGAAAACTAAGAAATAGTACCTGGTTGTCCATAAAATATACAAAACGTGGCTTTTATATCGACGTCAAATAATAAAATTAGCATCGTATTTACTAACGTTGTTGAATTAAAGGAAAAAAAAAAAAAAAAAAAAGG